TTTTTCTCGACATCTGACCGAAATGACGGAGCAGGCCTTTTATCACGTGGACATTCGAATTCTTCTTGGTTGCCAACAGCGGTGAGGAAATCAAGCTTCTTCTTCTTTGACCAAAACATTGGATGATCAAGAAACATTGATGCAGTCGGTCTTTCTTTCTCATTAGTACAATTAAGCATTCCTTTGATGCTATGAGATGATTCCGGATCAACGGACTTGCTCCATCCCTCCATATCATTCTTCAAAATGTTGCCTTGTGTTGCAATATTGATTTCATGGTCACTTTTTCCAGTACAGTCTGCTGGGCTGAATGGATGCTTTTTATTTGACAAGATATAGTGAAAGATAAGACCCAACGAAAAAACATCTGACGACATAGAATGATCTTGAGTGGTTGATTTGATTACCTCCGGTGCGATCCAACCAGGAGTACCGACTCCGGTGGTCATAACAGTAAATGAAGCATTGACGTCTACACGACGGCTCAAACCGAAGTCAGCAATCTTCAGGCAGATTTGGGGATCGGTTTTGTAAAGAATGTTGGTTGGCTTGAGATCGCGATGAATGATGTTTTGATTATGTAGATAGCTCAATCCAAGTGCCACATGTTTGCAGAGATTTTTGAGAGAGAGAGTTTTCCTTCCGTYGTAAAAAGCACTGCCAAAGTATTCGATAAGATTTCCTTCCATCAATTCCATAATTATAAAGGAATAGTCAGCTATTAGAAGGAAAGTTAAATAACGAACAATGTGCTTGCATTTAGGAAGAGAAGCAAAGCTTCTAATCTCTCGAATATCTTCGTCTCTATCCTGCTGCATATAATGGACTCTTTTAACAGCTACTTCCATGCTGTCTTTTTCATGAACGCCTACGAAGACTTGTCCAAACGCCCCATGACCGATTGGCGTCTTGTGGTACCAATATGGCTTCTGGACATTACAGTTGAGTCCTCTTGCAACTTCAGCTAGCTGGTTCTTGTGTTTCTTAGAGCGAGATGTCCAGGGTATGACTAAAGGTCTTTCTTCCATAGAGACAGGAGTAGAAAGTAGAGCCTGTAGAGGTGGACATCCTTCAGCAACATCCAGGCAAGATTCACCAGACGCACCGTAGCGTAGAAGTTGTTTAGCAATTTCATAATGAACAGAATCAAGTTCGATTTGCGTCTTGTGGTACCAATATCGTCCCTTGGTATTACAGTTGAGTCCTCTAGCAACCTTAGCTACTTTTTTCGTGGRTTTCTGAGAGCGAGATGTCCAGGGTATGACAAGAGGTCTTTCTTCCATAGAGATTGGAGTAGATGTTAGAGCATGTACAGGTGGACATCCTTCAGCAACATCCAGGCAAGATTCACCAGACGCACCGTTGCGTAGAAGTTGTTTTGCAGTTTCATAATGAACAGAATCAGGCTTCGTTGCTGCTGTGCATCTTATTGTAGCAGAGTGATCAATGATATTCATGCAGCAGGATCGAAGAGGTAATCTCAAATCTAATGTGCGTCTTGTGGATTTGAGTTGTTTGAGCAATCGGTCGACTAGAATACTTTTCCAGGTTGTTTGAGTGGATTCATCTATGCAGATGGCATTCAGCACGCCCACCAAAGTTTTATCCGATAGGCTTTGGCTGTTGTCACAGGTAATTTCAATCAAACCATCAGCTAGTTCAAAAGAGTTTTTCCCAATAAGAATGCCAATGATAGAATCTCCATTCTTGTCGCAAGTCCACAAATCAAAACCCATGTCCATAACAGTCTTCCAAAACGTCGGTGCTTCACTTGGCGAAACGTCCGGATAAAAACATCCGGAATTCTCAAGAAATAGACAATTCTTTGCTGCTGAGAGTAAAGGAGATCTTCCTAATGCGTCTACATCATTAGTCCTTGCTCCTGCTTTAAACAATAGCTTAACGGCAGTCCAGGTTCTGCACAAATGAAGAGGCGTTTCGGCCTTCAGATTTCTTGCGAAATGCACAGCACCACAACTCAAAAGGTAGTCAAGTATCTTTTCTGAGGGTCCCTGCCAATACAATCTCTCAGAAGCATGCCAATTGACTTTCCCGGCCACCCAAACATGAAGAGGAGTATTTCTTTCATCGTTAATTCCGTTAACAATTCGTGGATGAGAACACCTTTGTAATAATTCAACTATGCATCGCTCAAAAGATTTCTCGTTAATATCTCGTTTATTTGAAACCTTGATTAGGAGATGAAATATTGAATCACCGCTTTGAGAGGAGCCCTTCCCTATCGTTGGGTCTTTTTCAAGGAAGAAATTGCACATATCTAAAATGAATTCTTTATTAAGCCTTCTTTCATCATGGTTAACAGCTTTTGCTAGAATGAAGAAAAGAGGTCCTTCCTTATTGCAGTTTTTCTTGTTGATTTTCAGTCCCTTTTTCGCCAAACAAAGAAGAAAATCAATAACACTTCTAGCTTTAACAGTGTAATCATACATCCCTAGTAAAGTGATGTGATGTGCGATGGTGTTCCCTTGCTCGTCAGTAGTATTTGGATCAGCACCAAGTTCCAGGAGTTTACCAAGGTGCCTTGATAAATCAGCTACTGTCACAGAATATTCGTGTATCCAAATTGAGTCTGCCAAATCTTGAAATATTCTGCATTTACTACCTCTCATKATGAAACTTTTCCTTGATAATTTGGCASCGTAATCTAAGATTGATCTGATGGACATTATTGCGGTGGAGTTTAATGGRCGYTTYAGTAAAAGTGGAAATTTACAGAATACTGCGTTGACAATTGTATTCACTATTGTTTCTTTCTTGACTCCATTATCGTTGAAATATGCCAACTTTTCTKCCATTAATTTTCCATCGGGCCCTGCGTTATTAATACAGTGATGAATGAAATACGATAACACGCTGATATTATGTTTGTCGGTCAGATGAAGATTTGCACCATTTTCTACGAGATATCGAGCAGATAAGTTTGATTCGACCAACGCATAAAACAATGCCGTTCTKCCTAAATCATTCTTTGAGTCCACCGGTGCTTTGCCTCGTTCTATTAATTCTTTGACGGACGCKTCATACATTACATTGTATATCAAAGCTGTATTACCTTTGTCATCAGTCTTGTTTACGTCAGCACCAGCGTCGATCAGTGCTAGAGTTAATTCCCCGACATCAGAATCAATCAGTTGTATATGAGTTAAAACTCCGGCATCAAAACCGTAAGCCTTWTCTGTTAAACCAATATACATCAAGGCCAGTCTTCCTTTTTTATCCGTGTTATTGACGTCAGCACCACATCTTATAAGTGCCCGCGCAACTTTCGTCTGCCTATGTATAACAGCTTTCATCAATGCTGTTCGGCCTCCATTATCGACAGCATTCAWATTTAGATCTTTGCTGTTCTCCATTATTTCAAGTGCAGTGTCTTCAACAGCTATAGCATACATTAATGCTGTTTCGCATTCTTTGTCCTTGATGTTGACGTCAGCACCACGTTTGATTAGTGCTAGAGCAACTTTCGTCATCCCATTAATAGCAGCTTTTATCAAKGCTGTTTGGCCTTGATTATCGACAGCATTTAAATCTAGATCTTTGCTTTGCTTAACTATTGCAAGTGCAATGTTTTCATTTTCCTTAGCTATAGCATGCATCAGTGCTGTTTTGCCTTCTTTATCTTTCATGTTGACATCAKCTCSACCGTTGATTAAAGCAATCGCCATTTCATGTGTATAGCGCCAGTTTTGTGCGAAAATGATCAATGCTGTTTGCCCGTTCTTATTTACCTCATTAACGCAAGCCCCGTCTTCTATAAGTCGATTCACTTGTTCTAAGTTTCCTTGTCTGGCAGCAGTCTGGCAATGAACTTCCAGTAGAATCTACACCCACCATGCTGGAATGTTATAGCGTTACTTTGAGAAATTCTAGGATGTGTCGGTTGGACATACATTCCAGTGTAACAGACCATGTCCGTGAAGTCTGCTTCTCTATATCTTTGTGTAAAAGGACTGTTTATCTAATACGAATGCGGACAGCTCGTCTTGTTGGCATGACCTTTTTGATATACATTGGATCAATGAATGTTTTTCGTGCCAATAGCGGTTTTGATTGGATTGGCGCCTTGTCTTTATTATAATAAGCTGCAACAAACATGCATATGGTGTGTGAGGCGGGTTAGTTAATTTATAATATGATTTAATAAAATTGTGCAATTTTATTGTCTTAGAGGAGTGGTATTTATCGTTAATGATGGTATTTCAAATTGCACAATTTTATTCAACCATTTTATAAACAACAAGACGCTTGTCAGCGTGCACTCGGGGTTCTTTTTAGTGTAGTCTCTTGGTTTAATGATACATATAGAATATGTAGTTTCATTTATTCTTGCCGTGACCAAAAAATATAATAAATTCTCAGTCCAGTTGATAGCATAATAATTAAGACTTATATAATTTTGACTTGATAAATTTACCGCAATTATTGCAAAGAATAATAAATACTTTAATTATCAAATATAAAGTAAAACTAAAAATCCTTCCTTGGATTGAAAATAGTAAAAAAAGAAAATGTATTAATATTATTATTGTTGACCAAGAATTGTCCTTACTTTGACAGACATTTGGTCCCGGATTTGGTCTAACGCAAATACCATTCACTGATCCTTTGTTTGCAATCCTTCGTTATTTTACCTGTACAGTTTTGTTGACAATCGGCACTTGAGTCTATTGTTCTTTTATAGTAGTTAGAGCTTTGAATATCAGTAGCTTTTAAGATAGAAGGCCTGTAGTTTATGATTGGCTTTGGTCGGCTTTGGGTAGATTAAATGGCTTGCGTATCATAACTTAAGTCACAATAAGCTTGATTAATTCGCGGTATTTTTCAAAAAGCCCATTCCGAAAACGGTCGACATCCTTTAGTGTGGCTATACCGCGTGTGGATTTGTGAGTKATTTGAGCGTATTTTTTGAGAAGAAGAAATACCATAAGTCCATCGACGAAGAAGCTGATGCAATTAGCACTTGAAGCATGGGACGAGACAAGACAGGCTAGGAACGCCTGGCTAATCTGGCCGCGATTTGGCGATGAATGCAAAAAAAAAATAAAGCCGAAATTAATACTCGGCGTTCCACAGGAACCCCGAGTAAATAACAGCATGTTCTGTAACGTGTTATTTGGGATAAATACCACAAGCGATATTTCAAAATTGCCTGGACGTTCTTGTTGGACGTTCTTGAATACGCTTCGCTTCCCTCGTGAAATTTTTCGTTTGACAATTTTGAAATATCACGCGGGGTATTTTTAAAATCCCAATACCACTACAAAACATGCTATTACCTATATAAGTCGCTAATTTTTCTAGTAAACATACGGGCATTTAGAAATCCGGAACCAAAATTTTGGAAGACTCGGTGATTAACGTTACAGAAATGGCTTTTGAAGTATCTGGATACAGTTGTTTAGAACTCCGACCTGGGCGAAAGAAACGGGTAAAAAAGTAATTTAAGTTGGTCAAATCTTAATAATATTTACTACATTGAGTAAAGTTTGTAAAAATCGGATTTAATTTATGCGTTTTATGGGGAAATCCAGGAAAACGCTTTTACAGATATTTCAAACGAATGAAATATAAAAAAATGGACGCCTGAAAACAACGCTTTTAGAGTGTGTAATCCCTTTCTTAACCGGTGGAATGCCAAATCATTAGAAGAAATATTGCCCATTTTGCGCCCGCGATAATTTGGCAGCGGTAGCTAACATTACAGAAACAAAATGGCTAAGAGAGCTTTCCTTCTCAGCTGTTAGATTTAATTTTCTCTCCACTCTTCCAATTCATCGACACTTCACTCCTTGCTTTCTCAGATTCGGTTCCATTACTTAGAGCCGATTTCGTATGAGTGGGACACCGTGACCGCACGGTTAACGCACAGTTACCGGACCTGGCCTGCACAATTTTGTGAGCCAATGGGGCACTAGAATTTGGTTACAGTACGATTACGGTTACAGTACTGTACCGTCCGTTTCCCACTCATACGAAATCCGCTCTATATATGAGACCGATGACAATCCTTAATAAACTTTCTCCATTCCCAAAGAGTTGACCAAGGAATCTCAATACAAAATAAAAACTCGTATCTTAGGGTTTAATTTTCAGAATTTTGATTGATATAAGTCAAAGGAAAGTGAGAATGTGTCTTATAAGCTTCCAATCAAATATTTTCTTACGGTAKTAACTGAGAAGTTAAGACATTTTATTTATTTTTACAAACAAAAKTTAGCTATTGGCGCTAAAATGTTGTGCTATACAATTCTGAAGACCCGGGGACAATAAAAGCATTCGCAGAGGGCATTGRGGACCTCACAGAAGGAAAACAATGGCGGCTCAAGTAGAAGTAAATATGAATTTAATTTGTATTTTTTGCTSTTGGACATACCCAACACAAGATATGGTTCTCAAATTTCGTGAATCCGTATAAYTGCAATCTATTCATGCTTCGGGAACCTATTTAAAGGGATTTTTCTTTGAGTTTTTTGGAGCAGAGTTGACTAATGTTGACATTGATTTGGACGTCGATGTGCGACCCGAGTGTTTACCAACTATTTGAACTCTTTTTTTCGACTTCAATTCACAAAGGTAAGCAGCATTTGTAGAGAATGTAGGCAAATTAGGCAAATTTTGGTCGCTGAGTAATTACAAAAGTAAAAACGCTCAAGAAACTCGAGATTAAATGCAAGTACTTTGATTTATCATGTAAATGAAATGCAATATATCCATGAAGAGTGATCGATGTGCGATTTGGAAAAACCTCTCAATGAAAATGATATTTTGGCGAAAATGTGTTATCTCCCATACATTTCTTTAGGAAGGTTATCCGCCATTATAATTTGTACTTATTATGCTTGCGCGACGCCATTTTGGGCAATATTTCTGCTAATGGACAAATTCCATCTATATATCTGTTCATATTTGTTACCTTTTTTCCTCTAAATCTTGAATATTCTTGTTGAGTTCACTGTAAAAAATAAAAGCCCAATCAAAACGTGATATTCCACAGTGATATTACATAAAGTTGGCTAAAGATGACTTAGTAACCAACAACTTATGGTATATTACAAATCGTGCGCTCTCATTGGCTGCTCAGCCATGGTCTATTGGGTAATAGCCCATGGTTGGAGAAAACAAAAATGGCGAAGCGCTCGTAAATTCAATTTTTAGTTGTTTTGGCAATAAAAATATTACTTTTTTTGACTAAAAAACGGTCAATATTTTTTTAGCATTTTTTAATGAGATTTCTGTATGATTATTCCATTTGATGTGATTTTATCGAGTAACGAGTGCTTTGTAAATTTGTTTTCTTTCTACTGAATTCGCAAAAAAATGAAAATATTTTGTTTCTCAAAATCTAGAAAACGTGCTGGATACTAAAACAATTAGACCTCTCGCTCTCATGGGCTACGTTCAATAGCCCACCTGACCTTCGTTCTCGTGGGCTATTGAACCGTAGCCCGTTCGGGCTTCGGGCTTCGGGTCTAATTGTTAATTAGCAATTATCCGAAAAAAATATGTTAAAAAAATATTGATATTACCGCACTCCATATGCGATAACGAAAAACGAATACATCAAGTTGTATAACTTTGTTATATTAAGGATCAAATATGCTATTAGTCTGGAATAGAGGTGAAAAAATAACTCATAAACAAACGTGAAAGAGCAATTCTGGAAATTTACGGCCGGCTTATCTTCTTTGACAGGATGGTCACATAGCTTTTTGCTGTTTAATCGTTTCAGTTTTCTCTTTTTGCTCCTTGCAATACAACTTTGACACTTTTTGCTTTTGTTCTTCACTTGCTCGTTGTTGCTCGTTGATAGGAATGCAATGARCTGCGGTGACCGTGTCCAGTACGTTCCATAAGCAGTTTTCTGGAACGCCTTTCTCAAAGCCAAGCGTGCAAGTCGTGGCTCTCAGAGAATGAAAGTCTTGTAGCCTATAACTCCTGCCCTTGTGCATAATTCACTGACCGTCTTCCTCAATGTATTCTTGCAAATTGGTGTTGAGTTGAAGACCACACCAGCATAATTCTTCTCGCCAAAAGATGTAATAATACTATAGTTTGCCTCTCTCGTTTGGACTGTTTCCATCAATTACTTTAAACTGATTGAACGTAAGGCTTCCATGCTCTTCGCCACTTCGCAGAGAGAAATACTTGCCAATGGAGTACTCGAGTGATGACGTCAAAAACGAGAGTTTTTAAGTGGATCATTTTTAATGCATCCTTGAGTAATATGAATGTTTTAGTGCCTATATTGTAGCGGAGATAAAAGCGATTTTATGGTCGGGCGACCACATACAAACGCTTGTAAATTTGGTTTCGTTCCTTTCGTTATGAACTCCGCTGTAAATGGCACTAGGACGCTGAAATTTGATAGATAGCTAGTTTTTTTCCATGCGCTTTAAGGTATTTCAACAAAAAACTGAAAACCTCACCGATGTAAAAGTCAAATGTATGAGAGATTTAAAAAAATTGTTCTTTAGAGATTTTTAACGTGCATTTGATTGTTTTCACTGAATCTCGGTGTAATTAATAATATATTGTTATTCTGAAAACCTCACTGATGTAAAAATAAGGCAGTTATCGGCCTTCAGCTCGTGCGCCCTCGGTGAATATATCACATAACCCCTCGCTTCAGGCCAATAACCCTCTCAAATAAATAACAGTTTTTAAAGCAGATCTGCTTTAAAATGTGCACAACGTTTCGTATATTTGGAAACTCTATGCGGTTTTTGACGTTTGAGAATAATTACTTTATTACTTACGTTTTTAAATATTATTTTAGCACATGAAGACGAGTTGAAACAAAGACTTGAAATCTTTACCACGACGAGACGCTTCTCCGGACCAGCGTCCGTTGACGTAAGCGTAAATTATCGAACASTAACTATAAATGTACAAATCAAAACTTAAAATGAACAATAAAAGAGAAGAAGGATACAAATTAACTAAAGATTCTCACCTCCCAATATCTACATATTCCATCCAGACAATCTTTTGAAAGTGAAAGACTGAAACCGAAGACAAACTGTATTTATTCTATAGCGTCACGCCATAGTGACAAGGCGTGTCCTTTTTGAAATATGAGCCTAACAGATAGAATACCCCTCCCTCCACTGGGAATACATGTTGATACAATGACTACAAAGCCAATAGAGCTTTTTTTTTGAATGATTTAAACTCTTGAAAAAAGAATATATTGCCCAGTTGCATGAATTTCAGTTATAAACGACAAAGATTTACAAGGAAATGATTGGTGATGTCTTACCTTACCATGAAGGGATGGGATGGGGCGTTTTGTCAAAGACAGGAAACTGATCACCAAAGTGAAATAACAACATCGTGTAAATAATTAATGCAGTGTATTAAATTGACGTTCAAATCAGTCGAATAAATCACAAAGAAAAATCTCTATCAAATTCAAACCTTTGATTAAAGGAACGAATCGGTGATTAAAGGGAATAGTTTCTCTAGTCAAAATCCGTATTAGATATGAAGCCCCGACTGAAGGGAGTTTTCCCTTTTACCAAGATATATAACCTTTCAAGTGACACTGTCATCATGTTACAAACTACTTAGATGCGTGAAACCTTGTCAACAAGGGAAAATATGTACTACAGATCTCACCGAACTGTGACAGGTCATTAAAAATTCATGTTGTCACCACGCCCACTTTCGATTTTTTCGTCGAAATTCGACTCCTAACGCAATGTGCCTTTGCATAGCTGTCAGCTAATAACTTAACACTGCAGAAATGCCTCATTTGCGCGCAAATATTCCTAATTGTGAGAATAAAAGTGTGAGATTTCAAATCAATTCTATTGTCTTTCTTTTCAAATTCCATGCGTTTTCTCGGGCTATCAATGAAACAAAAGAATATGTTGCTTGGTTTTGAGGCTAACACAGAGCAAACAAGAAATCGAAATCGGAGTATTCCCGAACGGCTTTCTGAAACAAAAGCTTTTCAAACTGTCTTTGTTTGCTTTTCATGGCATTCCTAATGAGCCTAATTCATAAGTTTTATAAGTATGTTATCTTCCAAGGAATCGCATCAGAAACTCGGTGGTGTAATGGTATAAGACGACGCATATAGATTGGACGGTTCGGGATCGTTTCGTGAGGGAGTCGTTTATCAAAGACCTTTTTTCACTAAATTAATTCTATATTAAGTTGATTATTTCTAATACTTTGATTATCATTAGCTAGTAGTAGTTAGAAAAAGCTAGAAGCTGAACTAGAATCAAGGTAAGAGTAACTGGAAATAAGATAGAATACAAGGTAGGAGTACTTCCTCTGGTATCCAGCTACTGCACGTGGTACAAATTACAATCAGGGATTGGCTAGATACCTCATGAATAATTAATGAGTATGAGAACTACTAAAGAATGTCGACGAGAACCACTACGTGGAACCTACCGTGCCCAGTTCGCGACCTTTAGTAAGTGAATAGTTGAAGGTCCTTAAATACTCTCATGTCGTATATATTGTTTGTTTATACGAGTGTAATATTTAATTTCGCTCGTCATTTTTGGTAAGATTAAACGTCCTGTTCTAGTTGTCCTGAGACATTTGAGAATAGCTGAGGTGACGTTTTTGACACCATTTTGTTTCGTTAGGCAAAGTCTCGCAAAATAACAAGGTACAGTGTGAAATCGATGTCAAATAAATCCAGTTGAATTCCTATTCTGAAAGAATCATTAATTTCAAACGTTAGATAGTACGAAAAGGAGTTAACTGAACAGTTCTGAAGGACGGCTTAGTTGACCGAGGGAGCGAGTAAAATCATTTTAAATTATTTGTAATTTACGGGGTCGTCTTCGCTTGATGTGCGTGAAAAATATTCGAAAAGTATTCGCTATTGATTTCAATAGAAGATTCACTTAAATTATTCCTTCTAACTCTCCTTCCGACTCTCATTAGAAGGCTCACTCAAAAGTAATCGCTTTTGATTCTCGACAGAAGGTTCGATCAAAAGTGTTCGCTCTTGATTCTTGATCTAGATTCACTCTTAAGTTTCCGCTCAAAACTCTCTCAAAAGATCAACTCGGTATAAAGTTGTCGCTCAGAATCCAACCTCTCGTAAAGTTTGTTTGATTTTAATTCTTCGAATAGCAAAAATGTCCAGTAGTCTCATTCCCTTGTAGTTTTATCAGTGCGGGAGCGGATTTTTGATCCCACGTCTATTAAACTCATTGGGAAATCGCCGAGCGATCAGGTAAGATTTAACGTGGAAAAAAAGTTGTGCTTGCATTCTAGAACCTTGCACTCCAAATAGCAAAAATGTTCAGTAGTCTTATTTCCTTGAACGACCGCCATCATACCATGCAGTTTTATCAGTGGTAGCAAAGTTGTCCCAGTTGGTGTAAAGTCGTGAGGAAATCGCCGGGCGCTAGTTTAAAAAAACCTTACGTGGATTAAAAAAGTGCTTGCATTTTAAGACCGTGTCGGCCGAAGAGGGCTGCGCACGGTAAAAATAAGTGTCATTAAGAAGCACAGCTCCTCGAAAAGAATCAACCTTGAAATAGTTGATTATTCAAATGAATATACTGTCCTCTCATGCAGTTTTCTAACAAGCGTCTAACTGAACTCTACTAGCTAAAATCCATCGTCTAACTGAACTCTACTAGCTAAAATCCATCGTCTAACTGAACTCTACTAGCTAAAATTTATCAAGAATCCTAATACAACTGGTCTTATTCAAATTTTGAATATTCTAACTAATTTACTATTTAAGGGCTGATTCAAAGCCTAAGCTGAGATACAAAGGATGGAGGCGCTGTATTTAATATTGGGTTTCTTCCATGGATAATTTAGTTTCTGAATAAATTGTTTCAATTGTACATGTTTCAATTTATACAATAGTACGAAGGATTAACGTCCGAAACGTCAGTAAGTTATTTCACCTACTTTTTAACGGTGTTAAATTTATCTTTTTACATAACTTTTTCTTTAGAAACACCAACGCATCTCACACTAGTTTACCGCCAGTTCCCACTACCTCAATGGTACAAAGACAGATCGACATGGAAGTTTTTTTCTGCGTAGGTGGATGCCAATCTAATTGCACTCCAAAGTCTTAATTGCCTCACTGTTTTTTAATTATCACGAAGATTGATTGTACCCTKAACTTTAATTTCCTAGTGAATAGCTTAAGCGAAAGAAATGAAGTTGCCATGACAGCAAGAGCTTTGTATTTTCTTTCTTTAAAAGAGATCGTGTAAAAATTGACTTAAAAAGATGACACCATTTAAGTGTCAAMCTATTCATGTCCTTAGACATTTTTAGAGGAATTTCTTGTCTATTTTGATCTTTCGCACTCTTACAATAAGACCGTTATCATGGTCTTTAACGCTTYTATTATTATTATTGTTGTTATAATCTTAAAGGATTTCTTTGGCGGGACTATTTGCCTTTATCGAAATTTTGTTGATTCGCTGATGCTTTTAAAAACGATATATATCTATGTATTAAAGAAATTATAATAAGAAAAATGTTTTTTTGTGTGTGTTGAAAAAAAAAGAACACCGAAACTGACAATTCTATTGTAGCTGCACCTTTTAAATAACTGATAAAACACAAAAGGTTTCTCCAATCAAAAAAATGGAGCCCAATGCCTTTCCAATTTTCAAAGCCATATATGATTTGAATGCTCGATGTATCCTAAATTTGGGAAAGATATAAAGAGCAATTTAAAAATAAACGACATGACAAAGGCGCCCGCCCTCCAACTTTGAAGTGTTTCTAACAAAAACCCCTTGTGGTGCAAGCTATGGGTTAAAATCATATTGTTATAAAAAAAAGGTTTTGGTAATAAAAACGCTTTATAGTCATAATAACATGGCCAATGTCACAATATATGGAACGTTGTGAGAAAAAGACATGTGCATGTTTTCATTCTGAAAAAAAAAGCTTTCCATTATGTACTGTTATCAACTGTGTGAAATAATTGGTTTTGGCTTTTTTGTTTTCACTTCTAGTTGAAGTAGCCGTTCTGATCCCAAATCAACCTTATCGCTGCTTTTTGTATGTTTTATGCCTTGTCTTTGTTTATGTTTTGCTCAGTTTAAGTTTAGTTCTTGAATGTAAGTTTTGTATAGCAAAGGGAAATAGTTTAATCGTTGGGATCTATGCATGTACAAAAAGAAAAGAAGAAGAAAAAACGACATGTGTATGAATTCAGTTATAGCGCCTTAACACTTAAATCCCTTATTTTTTGATAGTATAATGTTATCACAAAGTTATGAGCATTCCAGATACTAATTAATATTTAAGCTGATCGCTTAAAACATATTACTAGACACCAGTTCAAAAATTATGAGTATTTTATATTTATATATAACATTTAATAATTTATGTTAGTGTTATGGGATAGCTTCCAAAACGTTTCTCAATAATAATAACTCAGGCATTCATGAAAATATGTTTAAACATCAATGCCGTGTTGCTGTTTTTGTCAGTTATTTGAAGAAGTTATAATTGTCTCGAAATTTTCGAAACGGAGTGTAGATGTAACTATTAGATATATTATTACATAATGATAGATTGAAACTAGCTTTTTACTATTATTTTCTAGAATATTTTTGTCGTAAAAAAAAACACAACAAATTTATGATTTCTTGTGGTCCTCTTATTTCCCACGGTTGGAGCCATCTTATCTTCAAAATTGTCGTTTACCCACTCGACTTCGTCTGTCACTCGACTTCGTCTCATAAATTTGTTAAATATGAGGAAATTAATTGAGCATTAAGTCTTCAAACGAAGCTACTCTGTTCACTTAAATGTAACAATTTTCGTCTTAAGTAATTTACATTTTAAGTGGATAATTACTTTTGAAATCCTTAAATACAAATCATTGATAATATATCTCTACGAGAAAGGTTTGCCAGATTAGTTTACAAGCTGTGTTTTTTCTGTATTTGTTCTTTTCGCGATGCGTTTTTTCGGCATAAGTTGAAAATATCTTTTTTATTAAAAACTCTCTCCATGCCTACAGAAAGTACGTCGCAAAAATGATCAAATCTAAAAGTTGCTAATTACTTTGAAGATCGTGTTTTTATTTTGCCAAAAAAAAGCACCATATAATCTTAAATCTTAAATCGACTTTGTCGAAACTAAGCAATACTACTTGTGCAAATCTGCAGAAGTTGGTAAATCCGTACCCTAAAGTCAACAGTTATCGACAAAAATATGTATGGTTTTACTTCGATTCCTTGTCTCGACATGAGCACGATTCGCCTATCAGTCATTTTATTTTGATCTGATGAGTGGCTTAAAAATTGTGAACATTTTCACTTTTTTAACAGCG